TCAGGGTTAGCGCCTCTTACCCCCTGCTCCGCTCTCCCCAACCCCAGCATGAAACTGGCCAGCCCAGCCAAGCGCCCCAAGAAGGAGGCCGTGGATGAGGAGCTGTACCCAGAGCACTACCGCAAGTCCTCCGAGTACATCAAGGGCAGCAACCAGGACGCCCCGGAGCCGTACCGCGTGGGCCGCATCAAGGAGATCTTCTGCAGCATACGCAGCAACGGCAAGCCCAACGAAGCCGACATCAAGCTGCGGCTCTACAAGTTCTACAGGTGAGCGGGGCCGGGCTCGGGCAGAGCCTCCGGAAGGTCCGTTTGGGGAGGAGCGGCACGAGTAGGGGCCTTCTCCACCCTGTCCCCAAAGCAAAGCCAGTGTGCTGTGTAGACAAACCTGAACTCTCCCTGGGGCTTGGCTGTATCCGCACAGGGTCCGTCTCCGCTCAGCTAGGAGGGCGCTTCCTAGCTCGGCCAGACAGACGTGCTAGCCCTGCAGCTAGGGATAGCCTGGGCGGGCGGCTGCCTGAGTCCGAACCTCCCAGGGGACGTACTCCAGTGGCTAGCCCGAGCCGCCGCCTGTGCTACGCCCAGCTATGCTGCTGTTTTTAGCATGCTAGTTTGAGCAAAGCTGGTGCACGTCTGTCTGTCTGAGGTGGGCAGCACACTCCCAGCTGCGGTGTAGACATAATACCCTAACCCAATGCTCCATTCAGGCCTAGCCAGGTTCTGCACTGTTCCTAGGTTTCCTCTCAGCCCTGCTCAGCCCACACTCTAGGTCATCCTTCAAGAGCTACTCCCACCTCCTTGTGTGTCCTGCCGGGATAACAAACCAGCTGCTTTGGTTATCAGAACGAATCTAACGTTCTCCAGCAGGATGCGCACCAGCTAACGGGGTAGGAGAGATTTGGGTGAACATTCCTGTCTGTTTCTCCAAGGGGACAGACTTCACACAGTGGATGTTGGAACTCAGGCAGTGTGCCCCCGGGTTGGAAGTGCAGTCCCTTTCCCAGTCCCCCCCAAAGCACACTCCCTAGTGAAAGTGACCTGTCTGTTGCAGGCCTGAGAACACCCACAAGTCCGTGAAAGCAAGTTACCACTCGGACATCAACCTGCTGTACTGGAGCGATGAGGAAGTGACGCTGGACTTCAAGGCTGTGCAGGGCCGCTGTACAGTGGAGTACGGAGAGGACCTGACGGAATGTATTCAGGACTATTCTGCCAGCGGGTCCGACCGCTTCTACTTCCTAGAGGTAACCTCTGCTTGGAGATGCACTGGGGCGGGGGGAGCTAACCGAGCAGGTGACATGAGGGGTTGCTAGAACTGACTTGCACATGGTAAATGTCAGCATCCGAGTTCTGGGGCACGAGCTCCAAACCATTCTTCGTCACAAGTCTCAGGGACTCTTTCTACCTGCTAGGGGAGTGTGGCGCTGGGTACAATGAGCGTCCCTGGCCATGGTGAAAGACGCTTGCCAAACACTGCACTGCTTGATTCTGCCAAGCGTTTTTGAAAGGGAAGCGGCCCCGTCTGTCCTGAGCCGGCCAGCAAGGGCGGGAGCTTATTCACAGGGGAGTCCAGAGAGAAGCATAAGAGAGCCCTCTCTCCAAGAGCCACCAGAAGCGTGTCGCATTCCCAAAGAGCATTGCTTCGCTGTGGAGATGAGGGCCCGATCTGCTTACAGGATCACACGGGAGCTCGCGACCACCAGGTTTGACAAAGGGGTGGGTGGATTCTGGCGCTGCCCTACATTAAATGAAGCAACGTAGTCCTCACGAAGACAGCGTCCCCCAAACACCAGCGGCATATAGGGCGCATGTGAGCCTTGTGTCTGTTCTCTTTGCAGGCTTACAATGCAAAAACCAAGAGCTTTGAAGACCCTCCGAACCATGCCCGTAGAGCTGGCAATAAAGGCAAGGGGAAAGGGAAAGGCAAAGGTAAGGCAAAATCCCGGTGCTTTTGTCTCTTGCAACTTGTTTGTAGCTGCTTCTGCTCCATATTATCCCACAGCTTGCCCAGAACTTTGCAGGGAAAACAGGGTATTAGCCTGTTGTGAAAGCCGCATTGTACATGAACCAGACTCCGGAAATGCCAGTTTGAACTAACATTTATGCAGGATTGTAAAGGGACAGCAACGTGAAACCTTAACCCACTTCCAAAAGCTTAGAGTAGTTTCCTGTATCAGAGTCGTGGCCCAGGCCCCCATGGTGCTGGGAGCTGTACGTTGCTTATTAGGTGTATGACGGTAGCGTCTATGGCCCAGACCCCCATGGTGCTGGGCGCTGTCTGTCCCAAGGTGCTCAGCCTGGCATCTGCCCAAGCTGTTGTGCTGGTTTCGTGTTTCTTCTCTCCCCTGTTGCTGCGTGAAAGACCCACGCAAAGGGGGGAAGGGCCAACGTACCTTCCTGGCTGGGGGTGGGGATGAAAGGCGGCGGGATGATGGGAAGGTGGAGATGTCTGTTGCAGTGGACTTAGGGGTAGGTTCTTGCTCGAGTGGGTTAAACCCGTCCAGCCAGTGGGGGCTTAGAGTTGATGTTTTAAGTGCTGTGTAGATGGGGGAAGGATCTGCATTTCAAACACTAGCAAGGAAATAGACTGGGGGGGCTAATGCTGCTTGGGTGCCAGCCTGCCCTTGGGAAAGCAGCCCCTTACCCACCCGGAGTTCTTGCCTTCTCCTGACCGTGGCTGGAGAGGCAGCCGGGTGCCGGCACAAACGGTCTCTCCTTTCCCCATACAGGCAAAGGCAAATCGGTGTCTGCCTTGGAGCAAAGCAAACAGGAGGCTGCCGAGGTGAAGCTGCCCAAACTGCGCACTCTGGATGTGTTCTCGGGCTGCGGGGGCCTGTCTGAGGGATTCCACCAAGCAGGCAAGGAGGGGGGTGTCGAGCCAGGGTACTGGGCGGGGGCCCTTCGTCCTTGCGTCTCGTTGGTGTGAATTATTTCTAGTACTGTGGTGCCTGGAGGTCCCGGCACGGGTGAGTCCCAGAGGGGCCCCCGTTCCTTGGCTTTCGCAGGTTGGCAGCCCCTTATTTGAAAGCCAAACGTGTCACCCCCTTAGGTTTACCATAACCGCAGCAATTCACCCATGGCATGTACCTGTGTTGCCAGAGGCTGGCGGAGAATCCTGGAGCTTGAACCAGGGATGGGGTGGAGGGGGGCACAAGATTCGCTTTGCTTTATAGTAGATTGCAGCAGCCCACCCGCCCACGACCACCAGGGGGTCGCAACCCACCTGTCTCGGCTGCTCTGGTGCGAGCAGGCCCTGGCGTTCCACGGCTGCTTTCCTGCCTCCAGACAGAACCTCCATGCTCTCCTGCTGGGTGCTGCACAGATGCTCGTATGAATCAGTCCCTGGCCAAAGAGCTCGCAGCCTAGATAGACCCAGGGGCTGGAGGGGAAACTGAGGCACAAGGGAGGGAAAGGGACTTGCCCAAGGTCAGTGGCAGAGGCGGGAATAGAACTCAGGTGTCCTGAGTCCCTGTCCAATGCTCCGCTCACTAGACGGCACCACCTCGCAGCCACCCACTCACACACATGCTCCCTGAAAATGACAGAGCCGCGTTGGGTGGGACCGGTGTGAGGTGCCTGCCGTGGGCTTCTGCTGGGTCTAACGTCCTCGGCTCCCCCTCCGTCCCCAGGGATCTCGGAGACGCTGTGGGCCATCGAGATGTGGGAGCCGGCCGCCCAGGCCTTCCGCCTGAATAACCCCGGCACCACGGTGTTCACCGAGGACTGCAACGTGCTGCTGAAACTGGTCATGTCCGGCGAGAAGACCAACTCGCTGGGCCAGAAGCTCCCGCAGAAGGGGGACGTGGAGATGCTGTGCGGCGGCCCGCCCTGCCAGGGCTTCAGCGGCATGAACCGCTTCAACTCTCGCACCTACTCCAAGTTCAAGAACTCCCTGGTGGTCTCCTTTCTCAGGTGAGGGGCCAGGCCTTGCCGCCAGCAGCCTGGTGTCTGGGTGCCGCTGGCGGACATGAGAAGCCCCCTGCGGACGTGTATCGGAGCAGGTGGGCTCTCCTGGGCACGCCCTGCTAGGGAAATCCAAACTGGGTCTGCAGGTGCTGTGGGGCTCTGGGCCCCACCTCTCCTCCCACAGAGGCTTCTCAGGGCCTCACGTGACCTGTGCTTGGCGAGCTCTGACCTTAGGGTAACGGCCAGACATACATGGGAAACTGAGGCACAACAGAGTGGGGGATGTGTCTTGCCCCAAGGTCAAAGAGCCCAGGAACCCGAGCCCTCTGCTCTAACGACCGAACTGGCCACCGGGAGGGGGGAGGGGCTGCTGAGGACTCTCCCGATGGCCACGGAACCGTTGGCGGGGTAGGAAGGGAGGATCACTGCACTGGGGTTCAGCAGACCCAGGCAGGCGGTTCGACTCCCCTCCACCCCAAACCGTAGGAGACTTGCGCTGCCCTGCCTCCGAGAGAGGCTTGGGGCGAGAGAGTCCCCAGAATTGTGCCAAACCTCCAGTGCGGAGGGTTAGTTTGTGGCACTGGCTCCAGGGTCCGTCTGCCAGCCCGGCAGGAGCCGGTCTCTAATCTCACTCGTTCTCCCCCCGTGCAGTTACTGTGACTACTACAGACCCAGGTTCTTCCTCCTGGAGAACGTGAGGAACTTCGTCTCCTTCAAGCGCTCCATGGTGCTGAAGCTCACCCTGCGGTGCCTTGTGCGAATGGGCTACCAGTGCACCTTCGGGGTGCTGCAGGTATGTGCCAGGCGCCGGCCGGGATCTGGGGGCGTGGGGTGGGTGCCCACAGCTGGGCCAAGCCAGCCTCTGCCAAACTCATTCCCCTCGGGGCCAGAATTGCAGCAGGGACGCCACGGCTGGAACGCTACGCCGCTGAGCCCTTTGGCCCTGCTCCCCTGCGGCCGTGCTCCGGCTCAGGACGCCGTGGTCTGTGCTGGGGACACAAGCCCACGTTCGCGTTTGCTCAGGACGCTCTCCCTCGGTCCAGGCGGGTCAGTACGGCGTGGCCCAGACACGCCGAAGGGCCATCGTCCTCGCTGCGGCCCCTGGAGAGAAGCTGCCCATGTTCCCTGAGCCCCTGCACGTGTTTGCGCCCCGGGCCTGCCAGCTGAGCGTCGTGGTGGACGACAAGAAGTTTGTCAGCAATATCACCAGGTGAGCGCGTCTTTGGCAGGCTGCGCCCAGGCCTGGGGTGTGGACGGGGGTCCTGGGGCGACGGCTCTAAACGCCTGGGAGAGGAACAAGCTGCTCTGAGACGTGCCGGATGTTCCCCTGTCTGAAGGGGATCGGTCAGTGACAGGGACGGGGGCTGACACTAGCTGGGTGACCGCTTCCTTTATTCCTCCTAGAACGTACTCGGGGCCCTTCCGAACCATCACGGTCCGGGACACCATGTCCGACCTGCCGGAGATCAGGAACGGCGCCTCGGCACTCGAGATCTCTTAC